GATACTATCAGTCAAGATCTAGCCATGTTTTTCTAGAAATGTGTGAAACAGGCGAGTGAAAAGCATACAACACTTCCAGTAAGAATATTGATTCGATTTTGTATATCGACTATATCATGATGAACATCTAGAGACCGCCAGCAAGGGTCCTACAGAGATGACATGGAGGTTGGTACGGCAACACGGCATGATGCAAGCTGCCGCCAACCCCCCCATTAGGGTTGGTGCAGATCTACTCCTAGTGTCTCTTGTGCCACTGTCTCTTTGAAGTGCTTATAAAAGCGCATGCATTTTTGACTCTATTACTCAGAAATGCTAAAGTTTAAGTGTAGAATTGATCAGGATGTTTAAATATAAACCCAGCATTCTACAGAATCAGCTCTATAACCTTTACATCTAAAGTGTAAGGAAAAGATGGGAGGCAAACCAACTGGAATACTTTAACAGGTATCGAAAGAATTAGCCACGTGATACAACCAGAATCTAAACCTAGGATATTCTGCAAATGGCAGTCTATCTTATCACAGTTGCGCTGTGTGCCCCCCCACAGGTAGGTAAATATACTGATCTGAATGACGGTAAAAACTTCAGCAAAACTTCCATTCTCAAGCTGAGCAAAGCAGCTATAATGATTATAAAGCACTGATAGGGAGGGTAGCTGCAATCTGTAATCTGGTATGACTAGTGTTTACCTCAAAATGCAAATTCTGAAATGGTGGGTAAAGAGGTTGGTTTTATATTAATCAGCCACCCACAGATGAGAGTAATTCCTGTGGAATTCCATTGGCTTCAGCAAATCCACATTGTGAAATGTTTCTTACCTTGTGCAATGTTTCCAGTTCTTACACATTATGATAATTAGAAGGCCAACAATTTAATCTGGGAATATATACTAACACTGTATTATTTACCTGCAGGCATTTCCTGCCTCCCTGTGCTAGGTGCTTTACAAAAGAAGGATAGAAAAGCATGCAAGCCATGCAAAATACTACAGACAAGAAAAAAATTTTATCTTTTTAAACATAGTATCAGAGACATGACTTGTAGCTTTGACAGCATTTAAAATTCTTTGCCCTTACAACTACTTTGTTACACAAATTTGGGACCTTTGCAGGAAGTAATGCATTTTTGACATTACAATTTTTTTTCCATAATGGTAGACAACATTTATGACAATATTTAAATATTTAGATTTTTCAGATCAAATATTAGCCAGGTAGTTCAGTACCAGGCACTTTAAAACATGAGGTTCTATGGTTCAAAACTTGTGTTTTTCCTTGGCATCAAGGATTGCAGAAACAGTTTTTACCTTAGCATCACCACTGAATGCCCTAATGCCCCTTCCCATCATTCTTCAGCGCATGTGTTATACTGCTTAATGATCATCCAAAACTCCATAGCTAGCTTTATTTCAATGATGCTGGTGTGCATGCTAGTTTAATGCAACCTTTAGCTATCCTTTGGGGCAAAGGACAGCATGAAAATGAAAGAGGTCATCTCTTTAGGAATACTGTGCCATCAACAGAAAAAAAGAATACTTCATACAAAACCTGAAAATTTATGGATTTTAAAAAATCTCATTTAAGAAGTTACATATTTCACTTACTGCTGTTGCTCAATGAAAATAAAAAGAAATTCTTGTAGAAAAGACTTGCCCATAAATGAGACAGTTTAATAGAAAGAGTTGTGGGCCTATGAATTATAGTTCCAGACTGCTTATACTCTGCCTTAAAGCTGTGTATTCTTTCTCTGTACTTGTGCAATGCATTTATGTTGGAAGGCACTCTTAAAACTGGGTGATCTATTGGTTTAGGGAGCTAAAGATTAATTCCAGATGGGTCATGCTCTTCTAGCCCTTCAAAAAGTAACTACTGCACCATCTGTTTTGTAATAGACAATTTCAAAGAGTGCCAAGGGGAATGTTAAAGACATTGGTCAAACAGCCACATATACCTCACACACAGGAATCCTAGAGGTCATAGTGCCTCAGATAGATTCATGTTTTCACCTTTTTTCTCTCCGTTGTTCCACCATGGAAACTCAAGGAACAGCTCTCCTTCCTCCTAAACTAAGAAGGAGATGTTTTCCAGGTTATGACCTGCATTGACAAGTATGAGGCCAAATTCAGACCTGAATTCAGAGGAATGACTGGAATTCACTCCTATACCTGCCCTGCTTTTGGGTACTTACAGATTATTCCAAAACAGTTCTGTTTTTTAAAAAAATGACTCAGTATCAGGAGGTTAATGCTAAACTGACTTCAGATCTGGCTGGGTGCCCAAGGCAAATGAAGGGTGCAATAGGTAATGAAGTGTTATTCCAGACCATGGTAATTTTTATTTTCCCTGATTATTTCAGGAAGCTCAAACTAAAAGAATTATGTCTGTTCTTTTAAATACAGTATTATGCCTCAATACCTACATCTCAGGTATATAACAAAGACGCACTTAAGTCTAGTAACTTAAATCCTTTACAACAGTAAAACCGGAGTAAAAGAAGTTCTCTGAAGACTTCCTAAGTATAAACCTAAACTTCAGAGCAGTAACTCGTGATTTATACCAAATAGTCCTGAGAAAAAGTCTAGAATGAAAACAAAGGAAATGGAAAACCTACCAGAGGTTAGACAATCTCAATCTTGTATAGTCCTGGAGATTCACTTCTGTTGCAGTAACATTAAGTAAATCACTGGCAAAAAGAAATAAAGACTAACAATATGTCTCCAGTTCATTGCTCTTTGTTTTTTCCAGTGCATCCAATCATGTTTTATATCGATTCTTGCAATAACTTATTACAGAAATAGTTACGACTAGCAGACTACTTAAGTCTTGTTGACCTTGCTGTGGTTCTCTCCATTGAACAGCACACTGCAGAATCAGTGCCTTAGACTGTAAGCTTAGTGTCTGGGTATACTCCAGCTAGATCTTCAAAGTTTGCTGCTATTAAGTAAAAAATAAATTAATAGAAGTAACAGCTCCTCACCATTTGCCTCTCCTTAGTATTAAAATTTAATTTCTTTTAAGCCATGGTCTATTTGGGTGGTGTAAGGGAATGCCATACAGTACTCAGATTTGTACTTTTTCAGTATTAAACATTATGAAAACAAAGGAAGGTTGGCAAGCAGAATAGGAAATGTCTGCTTTGGAGGGCTACATCACAGCTTTTAAAATTAAAGACATCCAAAAGAAATACATTCTGAGAGGCTAATATTGGTGTGGGAGGATGCACACATACCTGTTAGGTAAAGCAAAGGCCTCATGGAAGATTTAATTCAAAATATTAGACTCAATAAATAACACTCAAAACTAGACATTTTATACTTTGCAGCAAATCACAATTACACTCCAAATCAAAACCTACAAGAAGAAAATGGTGCCTGAAAAAGGGATCGCATGTAATATAATATATGTTATAAATATATAATAATATATTTTAAGGGAAAATCATGTAGAGCTAGCCTATAGAAATCATGGAGAAGAGATGGTTTTGAAATCCCAGTCTCTACAGAACTAACATATGTCCTCCAGAACTATAGAAACATCTCTCATAGAACCATAGAATCATTTAGGTTGGAAAAGACTTTTAAGGTCATCAAGTCCAAACGTTAATCATCTCTCATTTCATCGTATGTACATATCTGTACTCCCCAAACCCCTCATCAAACAAGCCAAACAAACAAAAAAAGCAATCTGAATAAAACTCACTCTTGCAAACCAAGCAGTGTAGTAGTCACACCTTTTGCTAAGGCTGCTCTTCCTGGAAGACCTCCAGAATGAAGAAGTATTTAGGGAGAGTTTTGTTTTAGACATCCATATTATACCTCAACTTAATTCCTGCTTTTATTTACTAACTTTTAGCCTCTTTTTATCCATTCTAGAACATAGTTAATAGATTATCAGTCACAAATCCTACCCTATTCCTGTGCTTTCTAGGTACAAATTCTGCCTTTAACTAAGTCATGCAACACAAGGCTGAAGACTAACCCATCCCTTGAAAAATACTCAAGACTTGGCTTAGGTGAATCATTAGTTACAGGTCAAATAAAGAAGAACCAGAAATTCATTGCCAGTAACACCTCTCTCTTTATTCTACAATGGACCTAACGCTATATTCAACCCTAAATGTATGGATAAATCCTTCAAATCTCACCCTTTTCTGGGCTGAGAGCCTAATTTGCTCCAGCTGACCCCAGCATTCACCCACTTCACTCAAAGGATAGACACCTGTGGCACATCTTGTGCACAGGAAAAACGTGCTATCCACTTGCTAGCTACTGGCTGGGTCATATGCACCATGTCAAAGTGATCTATTTCATTTAAGATGTATAGATCCAAAATTACACAGCCCAGGAAAAAAGCAAGCAATCGTTTTATTCACTTGACACATGCTGTTTTGAAGAGAGTTCAATTTGTAACAGTAGTTAATCATTCACAAACAGAAGAATATGGTTTTAAATACCAATTTATCTGCTCCTCACAGCAGAGGATTAAGACTTAGTTTACTGGGTAACTGGTATAAAATACATGCTCCATGGAAAAAATCGTATTTCTATTGCACATCCTTTTGAAAACTTTTATGACTTCTATTGTCCTTGTAACTCAGAGGCAAGAATTATTACACAGAAAAGGTCTGCTTCCTTTCTCAGCCATCTTTTGAAACGACTGGGTAGTAGTTCTTTATTTGACAGAGTTGGTTTTTGGGGTTTTTTTTTTGTTTTTTTTTTTTACTGCTGACAGCATTGCATCCAGCTAGGATGGATGTTTTCCACCTGACCACCTGCTTGAATCACAATTACCGACCATGAACTCCCTGTTGCTGACAAGGACTGCAGAGATCCCCCTAATTTGCTGGATAGGAGATGCTTCTCCTTCACTGTTGTGAGGTTACAAGTGTTATCAGGAGAACAGGGCAGAAATACCATGGGCAAGGACGTGGTTTTGGGGCACAGTGGTGCCCTGTGGAACTGTTTCACAGGTCTCTCTGCAGCACCTGCCACATAACCCATGCCACTTTCCCTCCTCCTGGGTGCCAAACTGCAGGAGGTGAGCCAGCGCTCTTCCACCACGCTACCTTCCCACGCAGGGAACTGCTGGAGGCATACAGTTGTCCAGGTGGAGACAGACGGCGTGGCAATCGCCGCACTAAAACACCACCTACCCCAGACATCCTGTATCAGCATTTTGACAGATCCTTGGCTTTTACGCGTTACAGATGCCTATTATGCGTATGTGCAGTGGATGTATAACGTGTGCATGGCAGTGGACGCGTTATGTTTGCAATCATTTGCAAGCCCCATGCGCTCTGGGGACTGAGCCCATGCAAACATCTGGCTTTAAGGTGCTGTTCCCAGAACTACTGGCTCCTCTGAGGGGCTAAAGTCACGGCCCCTTCCCCCACCGTCTCCCACCTCCGTTACCTACCCGTGCGGGCGGAAGGACCCCGCAGGGGGCTGCCCCACACCGCTATGCCCGGCCCGGTCCGGCCCGGCCCGGCCCAGCCAGGCCTAACA